TTTTTTTAAATGTCTCTCAATGTTCGACTTTTTGCAAAGGCTGAAGTCGCTTCTCATTCTCCTGCTTCTCATTCGAATTGCCCCGTTCCACCTTAAATGGTGTCTGATACGCCAGATTCTACTGCTGCTCCTTTTAAGGTGGAACGGGAAAATTCTAACAAGAAGCAGAAGAAACGTATCAAGAAACCAGCTGGAGTGATTATAACTGCAAATAAGTCCATTCATCTCCAAATTATCGATGTTCATCTTAAATCTTTCTCTTTGCCTTTTCGTTGTCTGTGTTGCTGTGGTGTCCAGCAGTCTGTGAGTCAGTCTTCAGCATTAAAGGGTGAATTAGCAGTTATGCGTTAACTCCAGCGTTTAAGACCATTTATTGTGAAAACTGTTAGAACTGTGTGTTATAATGATTTTACAGTAAAGGAGGATCATGTTATGTTATTTTAGCTAAATATCTAGTTCTGCTGTGGAGCCGCAGCAGCTCTGCAGCAGTGGAGAGATTATTCAGGCCTGATTCTCACCCCAAACAGAGTCAGAGTCACTGATGAGGATTTTGAGGCTGAAGTGTGGCTGAAGTTTAATAAAGGACTCTGAATGTCGTGTCTGTACAGATCCTGCTGAAATGTTTAAATTGGAGCAGTTTTATTTCAACAGTTGACAATGTTTTGCACAAACTTGTTTGGTTTGTATTCGATTAATTTTGTTGATTTTTGTTAAGAAAAGCCTCAAATGATTGACTTTGCCTTTACTACAAATTTTTGTTGGATATCACGCCTTTGGTTGTGTAAGTTCGATTGCTGGTTTCACTTAAACTTTTTGGTGATCTTTTGTATATTTGCAGATTTTCAATTGTATGTTTCTTTCTGGCTCATGATTAAATGCAGTGTCTTCTTCACACGATCAGTTGGGCTTGTTTGGTGTGTCAGGTGGAGATTCACAAACATTCTGTGCACTACTTTTCAAAAAGTAGCTAAATAGTGGCCACTACTTTTTCTGGAAAAGTAGCTAAATTGTAGCTAGCTACAAAAATTGGGAAAGTAGCTACAAAGTAGCTAACTACTATTTTTTCAGTAGCTATCCCAACCCTGATCTCTCTCAGCTTTTCTCCAGGATCCAGAGCTCCTGCATCTTCAGCTCTGAAAGTCCAGTCCACTGAGCTCATGGTGAGTGTTGTGTTGTTTATGTTGGGGAGGTCTGTGGATCATGAAGAGAGGGTCTGGTTTTTTCCAGTTAGTCAAATGTAGAACATTTATGTGCTTAAAATGATTGTAGGTGTAATAATATCATTTAGTCACTGGAGGGCAGCAGTGTGTGTTGCACAGAGCTGGTGTGAAAGTGAGACATACTGAGTCAGAGGGGTTTTGGGGGCTAACTGTGCAGGATCATCCATGCTGTTAAAACACCACACTGCACATTCCAGTAGGAGTGTGTGTGTGTGTGTGTGTGTGTGTGTGTAAGAGAGTGAATACTGAAGATGAGCTTTTGTTTACCACTGACAGCAAAACACAATGTGAATGTGTATTCCAGAGTCACAGAGCTGAAGACACTTTGCATCAGACTCAGACTCTACTGGCAGATAATGCAACAGAAATCTTCTTCCTCTACTGTGAACCTCATCTTCCTGTTTTAGCAAAGCATTGTGGATCATGTAGTTTTTGGCCAGAAATGAATCTACGCAGACACAGAGGTTCTGTATCACTTCTTCATTAGTGCGTTTAGCCTGTATATCTGTCTGCATGTTCAGTCTGCATAGTTTTACTCTTATTAATCAACCTAAAATGTTTAACTGTTGACAGACAACAGTAAATAAATGACAGTCCGTTTAAAGTGCCTTCTCTATTTTTAACTATGAGCTCTTATAAAAGGGAAGGAAATCATCACTAAAACCGCTGACTGAAACACTGAACACTTACTCCACCACCACAAACACACCCCACACCCACACATGCACTCTGTTCATACACTCTGTTCTCTCACTCTGCTCTGTCCACTCAGTTACACAGCTGTGAGAAGACTTTACAGAAGAATGTAAGTAGTAAAGGTTCATAATTTTCTGTATTAATGAATATATAAAAGTGTTTTTTATTAAAAAAAGGACTACAGTTTTCTCTGTAAAATAACTATGGAGCATCTGATTGTTCGATTGTTACATTCATGTGTTGAACTACACAAACATATTATTCTCTATTTTACAGTAAAAGTGGAATCATGAGCTCCAAATGTGGGATGTTATCACTCATTATCCTGCTGTGTGTTTCAGGTAGGATTATTCTGCTATAATGAATTGCTATGTTTATGGGAAGTATTTATTTTTTAACACATGTAAACAACGGAGTAAAAAGCTTTCATTTTACCTCGTAGATGTTGAGCTAAGACAGTGTGTCTTTAATGCATTATTGGGAAAATCGAGAAGAATATAGAAATAATAGCTGTGAAAACTGAGCATATTTACCATAGGTAGTAGCTGTGGTGGTAGAGGAAATTATCGATCTTTGGTGTTATTTTCTTTACTTTGAAGAACTCACACTCTACCTTATCAAAACTCAAGTTTGTAGAGAACTAAGTTCCAGCTCTCCACTGTGTGCTGTGGATGCACAACATGACTGACAGACATGTAGATACGCCTCCTTATCCTGATTGGTTGACAGGCTAGTAGACACACCTCCTTATCCTGATTGGTTGACAGGCAAGTAGATATGACTTGTATGTATGTTAAGCACCCCACTTCATTTTTTTTCCTTATGTTTATAGAGCTTCTCAGTGACCCTGTCTGTCTATACAGCTCAGATACCCTGTCTGTCTAAACAGCTCAGATACCCTGTCTGTCTATACAGCTCAGATACCCTGTCTGTCTAAACAGCTCAGATACCCTGTCTGTCTATACAGCTCAGATACCCTGTCTGTCTAAACAGCTCAGATACCCTGTCTGTCTATACAGCTCAGATACCCTGTCTGTCTAAACAGCTCAGATACCCTGTCTGTCTGTACAGCTCAGATACCCTGTCTGTCTGTACAGCTCAGATACCCTGTCTGTCTGTACAGCTCAGATACCCTGTCTGTCTAAACAGCTCAGTTACCCTGTCTGTCTAAACAGCTCAGTTACCCTGTCTGTCTGTACAGCTCAGATACCCTGTCTGTCTGTACAGCTCAGATACCCTGTCTGACTAAGGATACTGTTTTAACCCCAGATGTGCTGCTGGTTCACACTTGTGGTTAGCCACTCAGCTGGGTTGCCTTGGCGACCCTTCCTCTGATGCTTTTCTGAGCTTTCCTGTTATAAGGATAAAGGGCAGCTGATCTACCCTGATTCTTTTTGAAATCAGGAGAAAGTTGATTTTACTATTGATTCCTTTGTTTCTCTCCGTGTTCTCTCCTATTCACAAGCATAGTGGTCATTTTTAGAGCACAATAGGGTACAAAATAACACTTTTTGTTTATTTTCTAAGCATTAGAGTAAGATTTTTACAGTGCATCTTACAATAATGTTGCAAATGCAGCTACTCTTAAATAGGTGGGCCCAGCATCATGGGGGTCATTTAGTGGTGCAGTACCTCACCAACCAGTCATCATTCCCCACTAAACCCTCTACTATTTATACATGCTTCTATAGTGACAGGCAGCAAAAACAGTCAAAGAGGTAATAAACTCTGTGGGCTCTGCTAGTAAAAGGCTACAGCAGTAAACACAGATAAAGGGTTTGTATGCATCACCTTGTACTGGCTGTGTTTAGGAAAGCACTGATTTCTTCAATTGATTCATTTCATGGTACAAAAACAATTTTCAGGGTGAATCTTGAGAAAACCACATTCTACTTGAATCAGTTTATTATGTAAAGTAAATCTGTTTTAAGTTGTGCTCTGCTGCTCTCTGCTCCTTGTAATAAACTACATTCCTTACATGCAAAAATCATAGCTCTGTTCATGTTTTTAGGCATTAACACTAGAAATCATTATATATTACTATTGGTGTGTTGACCAGTGTCCAGGGTAATGAGCCTCGGAATTAACTATTGATCAGTAGTTATAAACAATTATAAAAATTTGATTATCATTTATGGTTATAATTAGAGCAGGCATAGAGCATGATCATATTTTTGGCTTCCTAGAACATAATTAGGGTCTAAAAGGATTAAATGCTTGGGTAATATATGATACACCATTGGCTTATTGCTGTGTAACAAACACTCAACTATAGTTAGTGATGGCTGATATGACTTACTGTCTTTTTTCATCCAATACTAGAGGTGGGAACAAGTCACTAAGTTGCAAGTAGCAAGTAAGTCTCAAGTCTTGACACTCGAGTCCCGAGTCAAGTACCAAATCAAGACAATTGGGTCTTGATTCAAGTCCCGAGTCAGTACAGGCAAGTCTCAGTTCAAGTCTCAAGTCCTAATCTTCAAGTCCTTAACAAGTCAGTGTGCATTCTTCAGCTAATTTAAGCCTATTTCAACACTGAACACAAAAATGATGGTAACGGTAATACAGCCTTTTAATGACAGCATGTTAGTAGTGTGTGGCTGTATATTCATTTTTTATTTAGTCATTTTTTTACCCTTCCAATAAAATACAAATTCCATGGTACACAGAGAACCATGACAGACATAATGGTGTAAAGAGCAGAGCACCTACACATGAAAAGAAAAGAAGAAAAAAAGTTTATATTTGAAGATAATTTAGGGGAATCCTTTCTTGGGATCATTGGGCATGTAGGATTAAAGTAAAACAACAGCTCTAAAAACTCAGCCAACTAAATATAACTGCTAGTTTGAATTGAATTTAGATGACAACAGAAACCAAAACAACCAAGCTGAACAAAATTTACATAAAAGACAGCAAATTGATGGTGAATGTACAAAGCTCATTTTCTTATTTGCCAGCAGCTTCTTATTCGAATTTTCCATTCCACCATAAATAGCGCAGCAGTTATATTCCGTTGCAACAATTAAGATTGAATGGAAAATTTGATTATGAAGCTGGCAAATAAAAAGTCAACTTCAGCCTTGTGGTGAATTTTTCGCTTGTTTTAACTGCAGAAGCTTTTAAAAATCACTCAAATAGAGAGAGATGTGTTTCTTTTGATTTGCTACCGTGAGGAAAATGATCAGTTCGCCTGGTAAATTTCTCCAGTAAGAGTTTATGAGCTGAGCTAGGCTTGTCGATGCTATTGATGCTTCACTTGCTTCCAGCTTATGGAGGCGAACTTGAACTCTAACACTTCACTTGTCTTCTGCAATAAAATACACCCGGCATAATATCTGTATTGGCTGTTATCCAATACAGATTCTATAAAGATCTTCTAGTGCACATAAAAAGCGGAGTTGCCTGTGAATTTATAATTAAAAAGTAAATGTGGGCATCAACAATCTTTTGAAAGCATTTGTATTAGTAATAAATAAACACCTATGGACACACTCTTAAGGAGAACCACCACAGTGACAGTGTTTGTACCCTGAACAGTGAACAGTTTGTGAGATTGTATGTTGTACTGATTACATCATTCCCAGCCTTTCAGCTATGGTCTGCCACTGGAATTAAAGTAACTGGTTAAGTTCAATTCATGAAAATTGTGTGTTCAAAATAAATTAATTTAAGGCTTTTTAATGGGCTACACTGATGTCTAAGCTTAGTGAGTTTATCAGGATGAACAGAAGTGAAATTAACCTCTATAATTGATTATAAAGTTAATACGCATGTAAAATCTTCATAATAAACAAAATGCAATTGAATTTACAACTCAGACCATGATTTTGATTTATGGTATAACCAATTTGTACTGCTTTCATGTACTAATGTTTTTTTTTTTTTATGACACTGTTCATTATAAGTCCATATAACAAAAACAGCTAAATTTGTAGATTATAATTATAAATAAATCATTGTATTTTATTTTTATTTTTTGTCTTAAGAAGTTAAAAATAGTGTTTTGATTTGCAAATCTGATGTTTTTATCTATTTTTGTTCTACTCTATTTATCCATAACCATCATTTGTTTTTCAAAGACAAAATATTGCTTTTAAATACCAAACAAATACATTACATATACACTCATTGAATTCAGGTGTTTCATTCAGTGCCATTGCCACAGGTGTATAAAATCACGCACCTAGCCATGCAGTCTGCCTTGAATGTGTCATTCTAAAGAGCTCACTGAATTCTAGTGAATTCTAGCTCGGCACTGTTATGGGATTCCACCGTTGCAACAAGACACAAAATTTCTTCCATTCTAGATATTTCACAATCAAATGTGAGTGGTATTATTGAAAAATCACAGCCTCTCAGCCACAAAAATTCAGACCACGTAAAGTTACAGAGGGGGTCACCAATTGCTGAGGCGCGTAGTGCATGAAAGTGTCCAACACTCTGCTGACTCAATAACTACAGAGTTCTAAACCTCCTCTGGCATTAACTTCAGCACAAAAACTGTGCGCCAGGAGCTTCATGGCATGAGTTTACATTGCCGAGCAGCTGCATGCAAGCCTTACATCACCAAGCACAATGCCAAGCGTTGGATGGAGTGGTGTAAAGCGCCGCCACTGGACTCTGGAGCAGTGGAAATGTATTCTGTGGAGTGTCGAATCATGCTTCTCTATCTGACAGTCTGATGGACGAGTCTGGGTTTGGCGAATGCCAGGAGAACATTACCAGCCTGACTGCATTGTGCCAACTGTAAAGTTTGGTGGAAATCTTAACGCCTCGGCATTCTAAGACATTTTGGACAATTGTGTGCTTCCAACTTTGTGGAAACAGTACAAGAAAGGTCATTCGCTGTTCCAGCATGACTGAGCCCCAGTGTACAAAGCAAGGTCCATAAAGGCCTGGCTGGGTGAGTTTGGTGTGGCAGAACTTGACTGGCCCACACAGAGCCCTGACCTCAACCCCATCAAACACCTTTGGGATGAACTAGAACAGAGATTGTGAGCCAGGCCCTCTCGTCCAACATCAGTGTCTGACCTCACAAAATCTTGTAGAAAGCTTCCCAGAAGAGTTGAAGCTATTATAGCTGCAAAGGGGGACCAACTCCATATTAATGCCTATGGATTTAGAATGGGATGTCACAAAAGCACCTATACGCATAATGTATAGGTGTCCCAGTACTTTTGTCCATATAGTGTAGCTTTATATGATATAAAAATCTTTTGATTTTATAATACTTATCAATATTTACCAAGTTGGTCACCAAGTGTCTTGTTTTGTGGACCCCTCAGAGAATAAAGTACAGTAGTGACTTCTAAAATGGCTGCACAGTGACAACACAAGCTCATGTATAACCTTACAACAAAACACTTGATTGGTTTAAAAAATGAGAGTAACAACTTAATACACTGGCCATGAAAGACATAATTTCTTTCATACTTCCGATTTATATTTCAATAAATGAGTGAGTGGATGTATAAGGTACATGGGCTTAATTGGGCACTTCCTATTACTGTTATTACTTCCCCTGTTATGACCTCCCCCTCCATCCCACTGATCATCAGTCTCATATCTGACACAACTGGAGTTTGATGAGAATACTGGTCTCCTGACAGTGTAATACAAATCCTTAATCAGATCAGTTGTACTGCTATCAAAATATATTTTTTTATCAAAATGTAGGGCGACATGGTGGTGCAGCACTGTCGCATCACAGCAAGAAGGGCCTGGGTTTGATTCCCCGGCCGGGTGACCAGGGTCCTTTCTGTGTGGAGTTTGCATGTTCTCCCCATGTCTGCGTGGGTTTCCTCCGGGTGCTCTGGTTTCCTCCTACAGTCCAAAGACATGCAGTCAGGCCAATTAGATATGCTAAATTGCCCGTAGGTGTGAGTGTGTGTGTGAAAGTACATGTCTGTCTGTCTGCCCTGTGATGGACTGGTGACCTGTCCAGGGTGTTTCCTGCCTTCTACCCAATGGCCACTAGGATAGGCTCCGGCTCCCCCTATGATAAGGATAAGCGGCGTAGAAAATGTGTGTGTTTGAGTGTGTGTACCTGTCAAAGGATTCTACCTGTCCAGACAGGTCAGTCTGTAAGATTTATATATAGCATTATATGAGTTCTGTTAAAGTTTTGAGACTCTTTTGTTTCAGAATATTTTGATAAACAGCTTTTGCAGGCTGCTTTCTCCATCAATATATTCTCTGTTTCAGGTTGGCTTGGTAAGCGTGTCAGTGTGTCCTGCAGTCCTCAGACTGTCTGTGCTCTGCAGGGGTCAATGGTGGAGCTGATGTGTTCTTACCCAAAAAATATCAAAACTTCTGCCCAATCATTCTGGTTCAGCTTTAAACAGAAAACTAAATGGAGGAATGAGGAACATCCAGAGGATTTAGCTTTAGACTCAGACTACACAGGACGAGTGAACACTGAGACCAGAAACTCCAAATCAACTCTTACAATCAGAGAGCTGAGAGAGAGAGACTCAGGAGAATATCACCTCATGATCATCACAGAACAAGGAGAGAAATACTCCAGTCCTGCAGTTACAGTAACAGTAGGAGGTAATAAAACAGTACAATTATGACACCATAATTAGACTTTGAATGTTTAAATAATCTAATAATGAACTGTATCTTCATTCAGATCTGCAGCTGAATATGACCCAGAGTGGACAGGAAGTGACTCTCACCTGTAGCACTTCCTGCAGTCTGACCTCTAAACCTGATTTCTACTACTGGTACAAGAATACACAATATATACACAAATACACACCTTACAACATGCCCCAGCCTCTCGTTTTATCCAGCAGAGCTGATGCTGGCAGTTACTCCTGCTCTGTTAGCGAACATGAGCAACTCAAATCCTCTGCAGTCGGTGAGTGAAGTGCAGCTCAATACAGAGATTTTCTCTCCTGATTATTCATAAACTGATCACATATAACAGCAGTGATTTGTGTTTCTTACAGATGTTTTTACTGAGGACTCTGAGATGAATGTGAGTTACACAGAAAGACAGATCGATGCTGTGGAGGGTTTATCAGTGGATTTTCTCTGCACTTACTCACATCCCAAAGCTGAGAGAGTTAATAAAGCTTTCTGGTTTTACTTTCGGCCTGAAGTGGAGTCAGAGGAGCTGAGTGAGGAAGAGCAGTTTGCTGGTCGAGTGGAGTTTATTGGAGATAAAGAGAGAAACTGCACTCTGAGAATGAGAGATGTGAGAGAGAGAGACTCTGGAGAATATCGCTTTCAGTTCAGCACTCAGTCTGGAGAGACATTTACTGGATCACCTGGAGTCACTCTGAAAGTTACAGGTAACTATATATATTTATTGTGGCAGTGGAGAAGTGGAGACGCTACTGTGTGTGAATGTACACACACACACTTTTTCTAAACAGCTTATCCTTCTGGGTCGCAGAAGGTACTGGAGCCTATCCTAGCGGCAGGGTTGGGATAGCTACTGAAACATTAGTAGTTAGCTACTTTGTAGCTACTTTCCCAAAAATTGTAGCAGCTACAATTTAGCTACTTTTACAGAAAAAGTAGTGGCTACTTTTTAGCTACTTTTTGAAAAGTAGTGCACTACTTTTTAGCTACTTTCAAAGCATCAGATTGGATTGTCAGAATGTTTGTAGATCTCCACGCCAAACAAGCCCAACTGAAAGTGTGAACAAGACACTACATTTAATCATGTGCCACTGAAAAGCTGCAAATATATAAAAAGATCACCAAAAAGTGAGTTTAAGTGTAACCAACAATCAAACTTACACAACCAAAGGCGTGATATCCAACAAAAATTTAAAAAGTAAAAGCAAAGTTAATCATTCCAGGTTTTTCCTAACAAAAAAAAAAATGAAAAAAAATAAATAAAAAATAACCGAATACAAACCGAACAACTTTGTGCAAAACTGTTGAAATAAAACTGCTCCAATTTAAACATTTCAGCAGGATCTGTACAGACGTGACACTCAGAGTTCTTGAAGCTTCAGCAACACCTTAGCCTCAAAATTCTCTTCAGTGACCCTGGCTCTGCGCAGTACTATTAGTAATAGTCTATTAAGAATATGTTTTTTCCACTTTAGCTAAGCCAGGGGTCGGTAACATGCAGCTCTCTTACTGCCTTGTTGTGGCTCCACAGCAGAACTAGATATTTAGCTAAAATAACACGACCCTCCTTTGCTGTAAAATCGCTATAAAATACAGTTCTAACACAGTTTTCACAATAAATGGTCTTAAACACCGTAGTTAATGCATAACTGCTAATTCACCAACCTTTAACGCTGAAGGTTGGCGAGCAGGCTGCTGGTCACAGCAATGCAGACAGCGGTCTCACCTAGCTAGTAGCTAATGAAACAGCAAAGAGAAAGATTTAAGACAAACATCCATAATTTGGACACGAATGGATTTTTTGCATTTATAAACACTCAATTGGTTTCCTGATACATTTAATCTGCAACCAGAAACTGTCAAACATTAAGTCGCAAAGCTGAAGTGTTCTCATTCGACAGCTTCTCATTCAAATTGTCCTGTTCCACTTTAAATGGCACAGCAGTACATTCTGGCGCCTCAGGCACCATTTAAGGTGGAACGGGACAATTCGAACAAGAAGCCGCCGAATGAGAAGCTGGATTCAGCCTCGTGAAAGTCGAATGTTGAGAGACATTTTACAAGAAACTCTGCTTTCGCAGAAAAGTTTCCTGACTGAGGGACGAAAAAACGGCTATAGCTGACCTAAAGATTAAAGCAGAGCAAAGTGAGTCTGAGTTTTCATTTATATTTTTATCCTATACTAGCACATCAGCACATACTGAGACATACTTACAGCCATGATGGTAAAACTGACATAAACTATTGTGGCTCCCAAGGTGGTTTCATTTTTGTTGAAAGGACAAAATGGCTCTTCTTAACATTTCAGTTGGGACCCCTGAGTTAAGCCTACTAGTAAGGGGTGATCAGCGCATGACCGTTTGCTCAAACTGTCCACGGCTCTGTCGAGATACAGTCACCACCAGCCCAGTTAATGACCGCATTCTGTAGTTCATTTTGTGCAGACTGTCTGAAGCCTGTAGTGAAATCGTAGTGAAAATTCTCGCTATAGCTACACAAAAATTTGTAGGCGCTACAGCTATTAGCTACATTTCATAAAACTGTAGCGTCTTCAGCTACTAGCTACAAAAATTTGTAGTTAGCTACAAAAAGTAGCGCGCTACTTAGCTACTCCCCCATCCCTGCCCAGCGGTCATCGGGCAGAAGGCAGGATACACTCTGAACAGGTTGCCAGTCCATTTCAGAGCAGACAGGCAGACATATACATTTATACACACGTTCACACCTATGGGCAATTTAGCATTTCCAACTGGCCTGACCGCATGTCTTTGGGCTGTGGGAGGAAACCAGAGCACCTGGAGGAAATGTGTGTACACAGTACTGTACAAATATATATTGCAATATGTGAATTACATATATATGGCATGTTCTCTGAAGGTGACCATGAGTTCCAGCACAGCATCACACCAGTCAATCCATCATGGAATGAACAGTTTGATCCTCAACTTTCATGGTACTGATTATATATAGAAATAGGACTGTTTTATTCTGTTTGAAGGTTTTGTGGATTTTCAGTTATGACAAAAAAGTTCAGTTTGTGCTTATTTCAGATGGAGGCATCTCATCTGGTCTGGAGAACAGTATCCGATTCCACCTTACCCTGAGACAAGACAGAGTCCAAATGATGTTCAGGCCAAGACAAAACTGAGGATGTTTAATTATGGTCACAAAATTGGACTTGAGCTTTACAATAGTACTAATCTAATCTCACTAATGATCCTAAACTAGAGCTCTTCAGATTTGAGTTTACTGAGTATTACAGAAAGTCCTGCTAATACGCTATCATGCGGGGAAATGTTATTATTTCAACACCCTTGTAGTGTATTCCTTAAAAAAGTCCATATGGCTTTATTTTAGCTATACACATTATGTTTTTTCCTCCACTGTCAGGGAGTAAAAGAGAATCATTCCACATTTCTCATCTTTCCTGCAGTAATTTAATCTGCAGCTCATGGTTTATTTGTGAAGGTGCTAAGGGTTCAGAGCAGAGCTCAATGTTAAAGCTGGTCACAGTGGGAGTGGTGGTCCTTCTGGCTCTGATACTCATCACAGCAGCTCTGTGGAGGTACTGTGTGATCAGGAGGAAGAGAGGAGCAGAGAGAGACACAGATATTCAGGTACTGAGAGAGGATTTCACTCTTTCTCTGTCTACATACTCCTATAAAGCTGCTACTGAATAAACACTGAAGTTGTTCTCTTCATCTCTCTAAAAGACTCCAGATCCTGCAGACCACACATACACAGCTCTGAATCCCACCACCACCTCTGATTATGACACTCTACAAGTAAGTCTAGAGTGTGTGTGTGTGTGTGTGTGTGTGTGTGTGTGTGTTGTGTTTGTTCTCCCGGTTAGTGCATTTAGTTCTAGAAGCTTTTTTAATGTTTTTTTTTTCTCTTCCAGCATCTTACAGACTCTCCTAGTGACACATACACAACACTAAACCCTGAAACCATGAGCTCTGATTATGATACTCTGACAGTAAGTCTGCAGTGCCTACACTGAGTGTGAGTGTGTGTGTGTGTGTGTGTGTGTGTGTGTGTGAGAGAGTGTTTGTGTGCATTATGTGATTATGTGTTTTGAGTGTGTTTAAATGTTTTTCTCTGCTGTGTGCTTTTCAGGGTGTGAGGCTTTACACAGTGAGCTTCAGAGAAGAGCTCCAGCAGCAGATTATGAAAACGTACAGAGACCCTCACCATAGAAACCCCCTCAGTTATACACAAATTAGCCTCCATTATATTCTGTAAAAATGAAATCAGTTCTTATATACCTAAAAGCCCTATTCGTATTAGACTAGTTGATCAGAGGGACGTTTATAATGATATTTGTGTCTCCTCCGTGATAAGCCTAAAGATCAGATTTCATACACACTGGTCTGGTTTCAAGTTTTAAAGCAATTCATGGTTTTTATAATGGTAGTTTGTTCTTTATTCTTTAGCATTCTTTATTGTATATATGTATTTAGAGTAACTTTTAGATGTTTTTTAATAATCTGTAAATAACAAATTTTCTTTGGCATTAAATGTTTTAAAATACTTCTGTCATATAATCTGTTTTTCTTTGTTTTGCTCTTGGGTCTTGAAGAGAATTTTATAAATAAAAGTTTCAGTCAGCTGTGAATTTGTTTTTAAGCTACAGTTTATTCAGTCTTGACCCACAGAAGAGTTTCTGCACTTTAATCATCTTTTGATGGTAGTGAGTTAAAAAGGAACTTTACACAAGATTCCTCTCTTAGCCCAAATATAATCAACCAGCCAAGAAATTTTTGCTGCAGTGGTGATTCTAGGACTCAAGGTGCGAAATACAAGGGTTCCTGGGGAGTTCAGGACCCCTTAGTTAACCTCTGAGACACCCTGAATGTCTCAAAATTCTAGGGCAGGGTGCTCAATCCTGGTCCTGGAGATCTACCACCCTACAGAGTTTAGCACCAACCCAAATTTAACACACATGATCCAGGTAATAAAGTTTTTCAGAATGAAAGCTCAGCTATTAGACCCAGATGTGTTGGATCTGAAGGGTGGTAGATCTCCAGGACCAGGATTGAGCATCCCTGCTCTGGGGCATCCCTGAAAATTACCTAATTATGCAGATGCTCAAATACAAATACATGGGACCCCCCAAGATACCAGGGGATATTTCACACACTGCTAGGACTGTATAAATGGGGTTGCCATAGAGTGGCCAAGGCAAATTTAGGGGTCCAAAGTCCAGAACCCATACAACCTAGAACATTTTTTGACACAGATCCAGAAAAGAGGCCTGTTCCATTTCTTCTTTTTCATATGAACAAAATGGTAACACTGACACCAGATGAATAAGGAACTCTATAAGTATAAATATCTTAAACAACATCTACAAACAACACTGAACGCATCAATAATACACCTACTGCACACAGCACACAGTCTCATGAAGCTGAAGTTAGCGTCCTATTCTCCAGCTTCTTATTCAAAGTTTCCATTCCACCTTAAATGGTTCAGCAGTTCCATTCTGGTGCCTATACAGCTGCACCATTTAAGGTGAAACATAAAATTAAATAAGAAGCCAACAAATATACTCTGTCTAAATAAATGTTGATCACACGCAGTGTAGAACATACATAGAACACAATATATATGTTTTATTAACATGGAAAATATTCTGCTGCTGACCTGATATTTTTTCTAATAGATGACACAATCTTCAGGCCATACACTTCAGATGCTCATAAATTAATAACCTTCATCAATATAATGGAGAACATTAATGCTTTTAAATTCAGACGGTGTAAACAGGAGAGAGCTGAGAGTAACAGAATTCATGTCACAGAACAGCATATTAAATAATACATGCACAGAATAAAAAAAAAATAATAGTAATAATAATAGGATACAGTAGCTGGTCTGCAGATATTAATAGACAGAAATCAGAATATGATTGTTCAGTTGTGTTCAATGCATTTACAGAAAGCACAAAGAACATCTGTTAGAAGGACTTTATCAGACAGATATACAGTCAATACTTTGTTTTATAAACAGATAAAACTCTTCTCTTTATCACAGCTGTCATTTGAAGCTGTTAAATGAAAACATTATGTAACATTTTTTACCAAACATCCAAAATCGCATTAAAGTAAAAGCATCAATATATATCAGAATTAAAGTGAAAGTAATGAAGTTTAATGGTTCTGTTTAATTCAACATGTGTGTGAACTGAACTTCTTGTGTGTTTGCAGTGCAGATACAGTCTAACAGAGACTCTCAGCTTTTCTCTTCAGCTCCTGCTCCTCTGAGCTCAAACTGAGTGAGCTGTGTTGATCATGTTTTGTGGATGTGGATCTGGCTGTAGGTCTGAGGCGGCTCAGCTGACTCACTGTCAGATGTAGAACATGAAGAGATGATTCAGCAGAAGCTACAGTAATGATTCAGTGCTTTATGAGTGATGAATCTGATCAATAATCCAGCAGTAATATAAACTAAAGCTGTTTAGAATCAGTGCAGATGTAATGAGAGGATCTGCTCACTGGGGGGCAGCAGTGTGTGTGCTGAAATTTACAGCTGCGTACTGAACACTGTCTCCCTCTGTGGTGTGTAGAGGACGTTTGGTGTTTGTGTGGTGGTGTGTGAAGTGGACGCTGCTGTACTGAAGGTCGTCCTCTTTAGCTGATGCTGCATCCTGTGAAGGGTCAGAGGTCATGGCCATAACTGAGACATTATCATGCACAGCACCAGAATTACACTGAGAGAGAGAGAGAGAGAGAGAGAGAGAGAGAGAGAGAGAAAGAAAACAGTTAAAAATTAAATCATATTAATGTCATATGATTGCATTCCCTCCTTTCTGATATACTGACCTGTCTACTCTCCTCGGAGCTCCTGTGGGGTTTAGCTGAGCTGCACTTACTCCTCCTGAGAAACAAGCAACCAAAACACGTCTGCCTCAAATCACCTGATTTCAGAAAACGTTCCTGACTGACCATCACTGTATATTTCCAGGAAATACTGTCATTGTTATTGTTCCCAATAGAGAGTGTACAATTTTTAAGCTTCTATTCTCATCAATGTTTGAGTTATAGAAGCTTTAAAAGTGGGTGTGGCTTAAAATGCTGCTTTAAAATGAGAGCTACAGAACAAGGTGTGAACTTTGAGTATTACTTTAAAACTACTGACACTAAATGCATGAAATAATGAGGGATAATTCTGTGTATGTTTGCCATTTATGGTTCACTGAAAACCAGAAATCTGTCACATGATGGTATGTACAGTATATATACAGTTCATATTTGCCAACCTTATTTGTTTTATAGTAATACTGTTTTTGATTTATGACACAATAAAATAAAATTCAATTTATTAATCTGACAAAAGCTACAATAAAAATGTTTTTAAAGTGACAAAAATACTTAATTTTACAATAGATGGAAACATGAAATACAAAAAGATGTTAAACAACCCCAAAACTAGATTAGATACTAGTTAATATACTGAAGTTATTCTACCTAAATCGTCCAGTGATCTATATTCTAGCGAACACTTTTAACAAACTGCAGTGTCTGCAAGGTTCTTTGTTTTCCACATCAAAAGGAGGTTTATGGTAGCTTTTACATAAGAAATATGCATTTGAAATGTGTATGTGATGTGTGTTTTCATTTGTAGTGCCTCATAATCAAAAACAGTTACTACTATAAAACTACTACCTACTTGACAAGAGAGTATTTTGATATTAGTGATCAACATGAGATTTTAAATATCTGATGTACTACTATGGGGAGATTTGCTCCAGTTTTCCCAGATTTTCAGCAAGCCATAACATATCAAACACACACTTCTGTATCTTTTAACAGCTAAATTAACCTTAAACAAATATTATTAATTGTCATTAAAGACAAAGCTCTGATTTCATGCACCCAGCATCAATACTTCAAAGAACTATAAGGCTTGCTTGATTCACCATAGCACTCAAGCACAGAGCACATAAGGCTGTTTCCACTTTTACAGCAGTTATATCTCAGATAAGATTCTGTAATTTGTTTAGCATAATGACAATTTCATGAAAGTATTTAGTCAAACTGTGATAGTCAAGGAGGTCATCTGTGATTTTGCATAGTTTGACCTCGGTGTTCATACAGAATAAAAATCTACATTTATTTGTGTTCAGTGAGTATTGATCATCTTCATTGTTCACATACCACATCCACAGAGCTGTTATGAGTATTAGAGCCAGAAAGACCACCACTCCCACTGTGATCAGCTTTAACACTGAGCCCCCTGATGAACCTTAATAAAGAAACCAGATGATACCTTAAAGCAGAAAAACAATAACTATGTTTACATGCACACCAGTAGTTCGATATTAGTCTGTATAAGACTCCTATTCTCATTAAGCTGTGATCATGTAAACAACATGGTTTGACTGTTATGGCCAATTGAAATATATGGTCCAGGCCATAGACATGTAAACACTTAGACCACTTCACAGATAGCTTGAAACATTTTAGTTATTTTTTTTTTTTGTACCCCATATGAGATGACAGCTTTATGACACTAAATCTGAGTGACAAAAGGAGAAAGGCTCACTCCTCTGCAGAGAGGAAGAGAGATCCTGTTCAATATTTTGTCAAAAATAAACATTATTAGTTTGTATAGAAAGAAAAAAATAAGCACAGGTATTTTGAAATGGCAGGACACTCATGCGTGGATAAATGTAGGTGCATCATGAAGAGGTGTTTCACTCTGTAAAGGCAGATTACACTGGCATGTAAACAGGACTATAAATGCACAAGTCTGTTATACAGCTCTTGTACACACTTTGGTGTGGTCCAGTTTCTTAGACTAACTAAGAACTTGGATGGGCTTTTGTGTGCATGTGAAGAAAGCTACCTGGATAACCTGAGGACATACACTATATGGCCAAATGTATGTGGACACTTGTGTGAGCTTGTTGGATATCCCATTCAAAAACCATGGCTATTAATATGTAGTTGCCCACTTCCCCCCTCCAGTTGCAGCTGTAACAGCCTTTTCTGGGAAGGTTTTCCACACGATTTTAGAGTGTGTCTGTGGGAATTTGTGCCCATTCAGTGAAAAGACCATTTGTGAGGTCAGACATGATGCTGGGCGAGAAGGTCTGGTCCGCAATTGATGTTCCAGTTCATCCCAAAGGTATTCAGTAGGGTTGAGGTCAGGGCTCTGTGTGGCCTTTATAGTTCCTCCACACCAAACGTGTCAAACCATGTTTTCATGGACCTTGTTTTGTGCACAGGGACACGGTTATGCTGGAACAAGAAACAGCATTCCCCAAACATTATCCTTCACTAGAACCTAGTCCAGGCCCTCCAAAACAGCATTTCTCTATGAAGATCACATAGCTATGTGCATGATTTTATAGATTAAGAGACCCTTATTAGTCCCACAATGGGGAAATATCACCTCCGCAATCTAACCCATCCGTGCAGTGAAACACCACATACACACTAGTGAATGCACACACACTAGGGGGCAGTGAACACACTTGCCTGGAGCGGTGGGCAGCCCTATCCGCAGCGCCCGGGGAGCAGTTGGGGGTTGGGTGCCTTGCTCAAGGGCACTTCAGTCATATTCTGTTGGATCAGGGGATTGAACCAGCGACCTTCCGGTCACAGGGCTGGTTCCCTAACCTCCAGCCCGTGACTGCTTAAAAGCACACAAAGACGAGGCAGCCAGGAGTCTAACCTAGAATCTGACCCTTATACACATGTTAGCAGCAAGTGTGGCTGAAACACCTGAACTCAAAAATTAAAATGGATGTCCACATACTTTTGGCCATTTAGTGTACATGTATTTTCCGTTTGGTCACCATGTAAATATTGATTGCTTTGTATCAAAAGTGTGCACAGTTACCTGTAACTTTCAGAGTGACTCCAGGTGATCCAGTAAAGGTCTCTCCAGACTGAGTGCTGAACTGAAAGCGATATTCTCCAGAGTCTCTCTCTCTCACATCTCTCATTCTCAGAGTGCAGTTTCTCTCTTTATCTCCAATAAACTCCACTCGACCAGCAAACTGCTCTTCCTCACTCAGCTCCTCTGACTCCACTTCAGGCCGAAAGTAAAACCAGAAAGCTTTATTAACTCTCTCAGCTTTGGGATGTGAGTAAGTGCAGAGAAAATCCACTGATAAACCCTCCACAGCATCGATCTGTCTTTCTGAGTAACTCACATTCATCTCTGAGTCCTCAATAAAAACATCTGTAAGAAACACAAATCACTGCTGCTTTATGTGATCAGTTTATTAATAATCAGGAGAGAAAATCTCTGTATTGAGCAGCACTTCACTCACCGACTGGAGAGGATTTACGTGTTGATCTGCTGCTAACAGAGCAGGAGTAACTGCCAGCATCAGCTCTGCTGGATAAAACGAGAGGCTGGGGCATGTTGTAAGGTGTGTATCTGTTTATATATTCTGAATTCTTGTACCAGTAGTAGAAATCAGGTTTAGAGGTCAGACTGCAGGAAGTGCTACAGGTGAGAGTCACTTCCTGTCCACTCTGGGTCATCTTCAGCTGCAGATCTGAATAAAGATATAGTTCATTACAAGATCATGGAAATATTCAAAATTTAAGAGTGTTATAGTTTTACTGTTTTACTACCTGCAACTGTTACTGTAACCGCAGGACTGGAGTGTTTCTCTCCTTGTTCTGTGATGATCATGAGGTGATATTCTCCTGAGTCTCTCTCTCTCAGCTCTCTGATTGTAAGAGTTGAGCTGGATCTTGTGTTTAGAGTGTTCACTCGTCCTGTGTAGTCTGAGTCTAAAGCTAAATCCTCTGGATGTGTCTCATTCCTCCATTTAGCTTTCTGTTTGAAGCTGAACCAGAAAACAGTTTTGGTGTTGATGTTTGAGTAAGAGCATTTCAGGTTCAGGTTCACATCTGACCCCCGCAGAGCACAGACAGTCTGAGGACTGCAGGACACACTGACACTCTCACCCAGGCACCCTGAAATGGAGAGCACATTACTGGAGAGAGCATCCTGTGAAACAGACTGTTATATTGTTTTTTACATCATTGTGGAAAAACTACTGTTTCTGTAATCTCCAGCTGTGGGGGAGTAGCTAAGTAGCGCGCTACTTTTTGTTGCTAACTACAAATTTTTGTAGCTAGTAGCTGTAGCCGCTGCAGTTTTATGAAATGTAGCTAACAGCTGTAGCGCCTACACATTTTGTGTAGCTATAGCGGAAATTTTCACTACAATTTCGTTACAGGCTTCAGACAGTCCGCACAAAATCTGAACCACAGAATGCGGTGGTTAACTGGTCTGGTGGCAACTGTGCAATCCTGACTGAGCCACGGACAGTTCGAGCAAACGGTCATGCGCTGATCACCCCTTACTAGCAGGCTTAGCTCAGAGGTTGCAACCGAAATGTCCTTTCAACAAAAATGAAACCACCTTGGGAGCCACGACATTTTAACATTATAACCGTTTTACCATCTTGGCTGTAAATAAGTCTCAGTATGTGCTGATGTGCTAGTATCGGCTGAAAATCTAATATAAACGAAAGCACAGACTTACTTTGCTCTGCTTTAACCTTTAGGTCAGCTATAACCGCTTTTCTCGCACCTCAGTCAGGAGTTTCTCCACGAGTTTCTTGTAAAATGTCTCTCAATGTTCGACTTTTTATGAGGCTGAAGTTGCTTCTCATTCTCCAGCTTCTCATTCAAATTGTCCCGTTCCACCTTAAATGGTGCCTGAGGTGCCAGATTGTACTGCTGCACCATTTAAGGTGGAACAGGAGAATTCGAACGACAAGTTGGTGAATGAGAAGCGTCTTCAGCTTCGCTAGTTGTTGCAGATTAAACGTATCAGGAAACCAGCTGGAGTGATTATAACTGCAAATAAGTCCATTCATCTCCAAACTATTGATGTTCATCTTAAATCTTTCTCTTTGCCTTTTCATTAGCTATGAGCTAGGCGCGGTTATCTGCTGTGGTGACCAGCAGTCTGTGCGTCAGTCTTCAGCGTTAAAGGGTGAATTAGCAGTTATGCGTTAACTCCAGCGTTTAAGACCATTTATTGTGAAAACTGTTAGAACTGTGTGTTATAATGATTTTACAGTAAAGGAGGATCATGTTATGTTATTTTAGCTAAATATCTAGTTGCTTGCTGTGGAGCCGCAGCAGCTCTGCAGCAGTGGAGAGATTATTCAGGCCTGATTCTCACCCCAAACAGGGTCAGAGTCACTGATGAGGATTTTGAGGCTGAAGTGTTGCTGAAGTTTAATAAAGGCTGACTGAACAGATCCTGCTGAAATGTTTAAATTGGAGCAGTTTTATTTCAACAGTTGACAATGTTTTGCACAAAGTTGTTTATTGATGTATTCAGTTATTTTTGTTGATTTTTGTTTGGAAAAACCTGGAATGATTGACTTTACCTTTACTTAGTCTAAATTTTTGTTGGATATCATACCTTTGGTTGTGTAAGTTTGATTGTTGGTTACACTTAATCTCACTTTTTGGTGATCTTTTTGTACATTTGCAGCTTTTCAATTGTGTGTTTCTTTCTGGCTCATGATTAAATGTAGTGTCTTGTTCACACTTTCAGTTGGGCTTGTTTGGTGTGTCAGGTGGAGATTCACAAACATTTTGACAATCACGCTTTGAAAGTAGCTAAAAAGTAGTGCACTACTTTTTCTGGAAAAGTAGCTAAATTGTAGCTAGCTACAAATTTTGGGAAAGTAGCTACAAAGTAGCTAACTACAAATTTTTCAGTAGCTATCCCAACCCTGCTGTTGTGTTAGGTATGGGATCAAACTGCCCCCAAAACAATGTCACTGGACAGCTCAATACGCTTGGAGGGGAATGCTAACTGCCAATTCTGTTATGTCAGCTAACAGATGCCTGCTTTGGCTAGCATTGCACTGAGTGATGACAGGAGAAGGGGGGCCATCCTACCCATCCAGAGAGAGCGAGGCCAGTTGTGCTTTCTTGGACTCCCAGCCACAGATTTCTGTAGGATCACCGCGGATTAAACTTGGGTTCTCCAAAAAACTAATCATTCTTGACTGGTCAGGAATAGAAACATTCATTTCATGTTTCTGCCCTCTAGGAAGACTGTGTGTGGACTCTCCTATCTACGATTTGGCTCATTCCAGCTGTGGCTTCTCCCTGGCTCTGCCCATTCATAACCACTCACACCTACAGCTTATTCTAGAATAATTTACTTCAGTATATTTTCCCCTTTTCCATTTGCTCTTTGTGAACTCTTGTTGTATCTGTTTGTGCAGTTCTGAGTCTCATTGTTTTTTTTGTTTTTTTTTCTGTATTTGACTTGTTCTTTTTGCTCTGCTTCTAATTATGGATTTGACTGGACTGTACATGCCTGCTAGTGTTATGACCCCTAACTGTGACGACTCAAAGTGTTGGATTGCCCCAAATAAGATGCTCTGCAAATGCCCCCTGCGTCCTCCTTAGACCCAAAGCAAATAATATAAAAACAAGTTAACTGGCATGGGTATAAAAATAATTAAGTTGCAAGTTATTTCCTGCAGATAAGAACTGAAAAAAGTGTACTGCCTATTTTATGTCTGTATTCGTACCTGATTAGAATTCATTAGTATGTATCTGTCCATACCAGGGTCCTTTCTGTGTGGAGACAGCAATTAAAATGAAAATTTACTCTACACTTTTTGAAAGACCTCTCACAATGGTATCAGTTGCAAACAATGCAGAGCAGGAACACAGTGTGTGTGTGTGTGTGTGTGTGTGTGTGTGTGTGTGTGTGTATCTGTCCATTCTTGATAATGTAGCCTATACTGCTATACAGTTTGCTCTCACATTGCAAGCGCAGGAACACGTTACATTTACAGGGTCACTTTAAAAATCTATTCTGGTACAGATTACTGGGCATATGGTTGAAGATGACTATTTTCTGGGGTTTTTTTCAGTAACTGAACTGTTTTCTTTACTGTCAACTTTACTGTGTACCTAGCTCACTATAGCAAACAAGTACAAGTTTATGCTAGTAACCAGCAGTCAGTTCCTACACTGATGCAGGGTAATGCTGCGTTTACATGTTGCTGTTAAAAACTATAGTTTCGTGCCTTATCGATGGCCATGAGCAGCTGTGTAGGTGTGTGAATGCCGCCATGGTGTTAGCGTCTGCTTTGGCCCTCACTTTTATTTGAAGTGAAAAAAAGCACAAGAATGAAAAAAATCATTTCACTGTGTTGTTTGCACTGTAAAAAACAAAGAGAAAACAAACAGTAGAATGTCTTTAAGTGACAAAAATATCCTTTGCTCCTCGCTAAAAGGCAAAGGGTGACATTTGGTTGTCCAGTTTCCATTTTCATAAAGCAAAAGCATCATTGGGACTTCACACAGCTTGGATTGAGCTGATTTTGGAGATGCAGCACCATACGTGACAAAGCTGAGGTCGAACTAATCCTTTTTTTGTTATAAATAGTTTGAGCTGGGAGTCAACTATCTAAAATAATGTTGCTATTTTTTCATCCAAGAGATTGAGCTTGGTGTGTGAGTGATAATATAATCCTGCTAGTATTCACCCTGTTTTTATAATGTACCTTTAATCTGATCACTGCCTTTTCCAGCAGTAACACATTACAGTTACTTTTTATGCAGTTAACATAACACAACCCTGCACACTTCATGGAGAATACACACATTGTAGAATTAATTTTAAGCAAAATAATCTACACTAAAATATACAAACAGTTATACTAGGCTATTACTCACTTTCTGGGCTATTATTATGAGCAGACTTTATTAGAACATTATCCTCATACGAGTATTATATGTTTAAACACTGCAGCTGTTATACTGCTGGTACCACCATGCAACACCAAAATCTGTTCTTGTTTGAAAATATAAGTTTTCAGTTGATATAATAATGTACAGAAAACAGGGAAGCTAAAATGGGAATCTCAGGAGGTTCTTTATAGCTGGAGTGTCCCAAATCTGCATTTGGTGTTTCTCAGCTCTAACATATCCAAATAATTGGCACATCAACAAACGTTTCATGAGTTATGAAAGAATTATAATTCATTAAAAACAGATTAATCCTACCTGAAACACACAGCAGGGTGATGAGTGATAATATTCCACATTCAGAGCTCATGATTCCACTTTTACTGGAATCACACAGAAGAACACATTTGTGTAGTTCATGAATGTAACAATCAGATGCTGTAAACAATCAGATTCTCAGTTTGTTCTTCCTACTGAAGGAGACTGAAACTTTCCTTTGTGGTTTTACATATTCATCACAGTAATTGTTTGATGGCAAAGCCTACAGTTACAAGAATACAATTATAGATTAAAGACAGCAATTAAAATGAAAATTTACTCTACACTTTTTGAAAGACCTCTCACAATGGTATCAGTTGCAAACAATGCAGAGCAGGAACACAGTGTGTGTGTGTGTGTGTGTGTGTGTGTATGTGTGTGTGTTCAGTGTTTCATGCAGCAATTTTCCTTCCCTTTTTCTGAGCATTACAGTTGAAATAAACAACGACCACAAATGCACTTTATAGGGGATCTCATTTCTTTATTGTTTTCTATTAATTATTACCTGTTATAGTTTGATTAGTAAGAATAAATCTACACTGGCAGACAGATATACATAATAAATACACATACATAGTTGATATAAAATGTTTGTGTAGTTTGACATCTTCCACAGAAACTACACATCCCAGAATGCTTTGCTCAAACAGGAACATGAGGTTAACATTGGTGGGAAGAGCTTTATGTTACATCATCTACCAGTAGAGTTTGATGCAATATCACACACGCACACACACACACACACACACACACACACACACACACAGCATTGCGATGCAGCTGAATTACAGAAGAACTCTAATAAATATGTACTCATTTAGAGTAACTTCATCTTAAGAATGTGAGAATGTGGTAATTATGTCATTAAGATTGTGTTTAATGTCCAGTTCAGCCTGTGCTCTTTTTTCCTCTGAGTGGGGAAAGAAGTGCGTGTGGCTTCCTGTATCTGTGACATCACACAGGAAAAACTAACACAATTACACAATCATTTCCATTAAACTGAAACCACTAAGTGATGTTTACTTTCAAAAGTCTGTTTTTATTCCTTTAAATCTACAAAAAATTATGAAAGTTGACAAATTGATCCAAATTACCGTAGTGTTTAAGTGCACATATAAACCCTAAGACCTCTTACTGATGTTATCCAATAACCTACACTACTCTTATAATCTCTTTTGCCTATTGTACCATCCTATGAAGGCAAATTTCATTTAGATTACTGTCTATATGTTCATCACAAAATGACAGTGAGGTTTAAATAATACCAGAACTCTAACAGTTAAAATAAGAAATGCTGATACAGCAAATCATCTCTAATTAATCAGCAGTCTTATATGGAAAAGACAGAACAGTGCACCAAGCTGAGTGTGTGTTTGTGGTCTAGTTGAGTGTGTAACTATGATGAGTGCAGTGCAGAGACTCTTCAGTGCAGCAAAAATGAGTTAATTAACTGAAACCCAAAGCTTCAAAAATGTACTTTCATAATTCATAATATACCTAAAAAACATAATAATCAGTAATTACTACAAATACTCACTATTATTGTTATCATGAATTATGCATATATGTAGGGGTGTGGCTACACGGGCGTCACCACCATTACCACCACAACTCTGACCTCAAAATAAATAATATGAATAAAGAAAACAACACTTACTAACACTAAATCTTATGTTAGTATTAGCTTACACACGTATAAGTGAGCAAGGTTAAAGGTACATGCTACTTTGCTTTTTTGGTGTTTGAAGGAGAGTGGTGTAAAAACAAGCATACCTCACATAATAAGAGTGGGTATTTCAAACCATTTTCACTTGGTACCAGCTTTAATATAATAATAGTAAGAATGATTTTAGTCTAAAATCACAAGTTAATGAGACATGTCATTGTAAGTTGGTAACCTTTTTACTTACAATTTTGGATAAGCACTTAGACAGAGACAGAGAAGAACAGACCATGTGGAGGAAAAGGAGGTTGAAGTAAAGAGAAAAGAGACAGATGTGGAGGCAGAAGAGGCTAATGGAGAGGGAGAGATGGAGAGAGGAAGAAGAGGACAGCAGTGTCAAGGTGGCAACAAGTCATAGGAGACTGAATGGTAATACCTTGTTGTTTTCTATATTGCAAACTGTAATTTATAGTTCAGAACACTTGGGACAACAGACAAATCTGTTATTCAACAATTAATTGTTTGACGTATTACTACAGAGAACATATGTGGCCTTTATAGTAATACGATTATGCAGCCATTCATTTTGCACCAAAGTACAAATCAGATATTCTGCAAATTAGGGTGGGTTGGTATTACCTTTTTTTAATACCTTGAAACCATCTCCAGATATTACTGCAATATGAGGTATTACCAGAGGGGGGTGGGTGGGGGATGGCGGGGCAGGTAAAGAGTTGTAAAAGCGTTTGGTACCTTTTTTGCCATCTCAAAAAAAAAAAAAAACTAAATTCAAAATCCAAAATAATCAAAAACTGTAGTTCGCTTATGTGGTCACCAACAGGTGAGCACAGTGCATGATTTTCAAGGGGTCATTTAATATGTCAAACCATCCCTCTAATAATTGATACATGTTAAACTGTACTGCTAACTAGGAGAGAGGAGCTGGTAACAGCTCTGCTCACCACAGAACAGGTTTGATTCTGGCTAACTAAAGCACTGACACAAGCTTAGATGATAATGATTAAAAACTGAGGGAGTGAAGTTGAGCTGCTGAAGGGACTGAAAGGGGAAACAAAACCTGTTCCTTGGAACTTGGATCTGTAGCCTGATTGGCTGACTTAACGTTAGCTTAGCGAGCAGGATACAGACCCAAACAGTGCCACACACCACAGTAAATGTTTGATTCTGACTAACTGGTGCTCTGCTGACTCAGAATATTTGAAAAGTCATGAAAGTAAAAAAAAAAATAATGGAAAATTAGAATGTATATAATATATTATATGCAAATCAGCTTCTTTAACATTACTCTTTCTTGTAATGAAGTACCATGACATACTTGCACTCATTTCACCACTACTGCGAGGACATGTCCATACCACTTCACATCGATCCCATGAATTGGTGGAAAGCGAAAGAGGGCAAATACCTGCCACTAGCACAGCTAGCAAGAGCCTAGTTGTGTGTGCCAGCTATGTCTGTGCCGTCAGAGACAGTGTTTTATGAAGCAAGGCTAATCCTCAACTGGCTTTGTCCTTGACTCGACCCTATAAAAAGATATCAAAGTGCTTCTAGTTCGCAATTTCCACTGTCTGAAATGCATTATGAAATGGCAATTAAGAGGAACTTGGAAGTCAAGGCAAGATCTGGAAGACCAGGAAAACTCTCAGACACAACTGCTTGTTTGCTGGCCGAAAAGGCAAAGCAAATCCCCCATATGACAGAAAAGACCTGCAGGAAGGTTTAGCTGACACAGAAGTGGTGGTGCTTCATTCTACTGTGCAGCTCTGCTTGCATAAACATGACCTGTGTAGTGAGTGGGGAGCATAAAAAAACGGTTTATGTCTTGTAATGGGGCATTATTTAGGTATGAGCTTGGCACTGTATAGCAGTATATGTGGTGATGCTGCTATAATAATAGCCCAAAGTTGCAATTAAGCTTATGATTTTGTTTTTTTTCTGATAGATTTACTCACTTGCATACACCTATAAAGCACATTTAGCCAAGGGCTGCTGACCTATGACCAGGTATGTGTGGGTTACACATGGTCATTAGCTTTGGTGGAAAGCTAATGTTGGAACTGAATAATGGTGGAATTGTCTCTTTGGGTTTAAATATGAAGAAGGCAACATTGTTAACATGTCTGACTCGTGGCTAATATAAAGTTTTTTATTTACATTTAGGCTGTGATGGACTGGCAACCTGTCCAGGGTGTATCCTGCCTTCAGTCTAATGACTGCTGGGATAGGCTCCAGCTCCCCCCACGACCCAAGAGGATAAGCGGCTTAGACGATGTGTGTGTGTGTGTGTGTGTGTGTGTTTACATTTAGGCGTTTACTGTAAAGTGCAGACATCTGCCAGTGTTCTTTCCTGCCCCTTTTTGTCTTTGTTTCTTTTTTTATTCTAAAAGGTTGTAATGTGTTTTTAACTTTATGATCAGTGTAAAGCCACTTCCAAAATAAGATGTGCAGCTCAACCTGTGTATACACCCTTAGTAAGGAACAGGTGGGTGTGAGAGTTTTAGCCACTGGTAGTAGGTCACTGGTGTGCAGTAAATCTGAGTATTGCAGAGATTTGTGGTGTACCAAAGTATTTTTATTGCTGTTAATGGAATGTGTTTGACATGTTAGTAATATATATATATTTATATATATATATATATATATATATAATATTTGTTCCTGCTTGAGTGTGGATCACTGGTGGAGCCAGCTTACTTATAAACATTTGTGAAAGAATGGATCGTTCTAAAGAGCTTGCTGAATTCGAGCGTGGTGCTGTAATAGGAGGCCACTGTTGCAACAAGTCAGTTTGCTAAATTTCTTGCCTCCTAGATCCTAGATTATCAACTGGGAGTGGTATTATTGAAAAGTGGAAGCATTTAGGAACCACAGCGATTCAACAGTAGACCACGTAAAGTTACAGAGCGGGTTGCCGAGTACTCAGGTGCATAGTGCAGAAAAGTTGCTAATGCTTTGCTGACTCAATAACTACAGAGTTCCAAACCTCCTCTGGCATTAACATCAGCCCATAAACTGTGTCCCGGGAGCTTCCTGGCATGGGTTTCCATTGCCGAGCAGCTGCATGCAAGCCTTACATCACCAAGCACAATGCCAAGCATCAAATGGAGTGGTGTAAAGCTCACCATCACTGGACTCTGGAGCAGTGGAAACGTATTCTTTGGAGTGACGAATCACACTTTTCTATCTGGCAGTCTGATGGACAAGTCTGGGTTTGGCAGATGCCAGGAGAACGTTACCTGCCTGATTACACTGTGCCAACTGTAAAGTTTGGTGGAGGAGGGATAATGATATAGGGTTGTTTTTCAGGGGTTTCCGAAGCCCCTTAGTTCCAGTGAAGGGAAATCTTAATACTTCAGCATAACAAGACATTTTGGACAACTGTATGCTTCCAACAGTTTGGGGAAGGCCCTTTTCTGTTCCAGCATGGCTGAGCCCCAGTGCGCAAAGCAAGGTCCATAAAGACATGGCAGGGTGGGATTGTTGTGGAAGAACTTGACTGCCCTCACAGAGCCCTGACCTCAACCCCATCAAACACCTTTGGGATGAACTAGAATAGAGATTGTGAGCCAGGCCCTCTCGTCCAGCATCAGTGTCTGACCTCACAAATGCTCTTCTGCATGAATGGAAAAGAATTTCCACAGACACTCTCCAAAATCTTGTAGAAATC